TTTAAAAATGGTATGCTACCAAGCATTTTCCAAACTTACTTTTTTTTCTTTAAACCACAAAGACGAAACTAAATATTCAATAAATAACTTTATTATACCAAAAACATCATCAAAACAAGCGATATCGTGCTGAGGGCCGCGGTAATGGAACTTGCAATTTAACAAGTAATATAAAAACTTTAAATTCAACTCAACATTTTAAACGTGCAACAAAACAACACTTATTTGATTTTGATACAAAGCAATTGCTATCCTATTATTAAAAACTTTTGATATTCTTAGTTATTTAATGTCTTATAAATTGACGCAACATCTTAATTATATTGTATGGTACTTAGAACATGTATGATATTATTTTATTTTAGAATAATAACCCAATTTGTAAATGCAATATTTATTATATCTTACGCAATTTTGTAGATGAAATATAAAACAGATTTATTTGATTTTGTATGTATATATGAACGGACATATATTTGTGAGTACGTGTGCGAGTATGTGTGAGTGCGTGTATGATAAAAATAAAAGTAGAATAAAATAGAAAATTAAAAAAATAATAATAAGAAGAAATAATTAATTTTTTTTCTTTTTTCCTGTAAATAGTTAATGATTGTTGAATCAGTTTTCGCTTTAGTTTTTTTTTTCCTTTTTCATTTTTATCGGCTGAGTTTTTTAGTTATATTAACGGCGCTGGATGATAAAACCATGTCTTCTGCCAGCTCCGGTCGAAACTTTATTGTTATATTTTTATGTTGTAAAAACATAGTAAAAGATTATTTTTTTAATGACAAAAAATATATATATAAAAAAATAAAAATTAAAAAATAAAAAAAAAATTTTATGTTACATTTATTATTTATACAATATATAAAATAGAAAAACTCAAAGAAGACGGTAATGGAGCATTACATGATTACGTGAAGGACATTTGTACACTGTTTGGAAATGAAATATTAAATTATACAAGGAATCAAGTAACGAGTTTTCAAAAAAAGTTATAGTTAAAAAAAATTTAAATGTTGCTTAAATATACAGTAAAATCTATCTTTGACTTTTCAAAATGACTTGATTATTGTAACATTTAGTTCGCATTACGTGTAGGACAAATAAAATAGCACATTTTCAATTAAGTAAATGCATTTGAAAAATTCAGCGAATTATTAAAAAAATACAACTTTTTTTCTTTAATTGTTAATAGAGCAGAGTTTAATGAAAACAAAAGTATAATTTTTGATTCTTGAAAAATAATCAGTTTTTAACAAAATATAGTAAATAGTATATAACTTACGTGAAGGTCAGTTTTGTTACGTGACGGACGCGTACAAACATAAGAATTAAAAATAGTTATTTTCAAAAGAACACTTGATCTTCGCCATCTAAATTGTGCTTTTTAGCTCGAATTGTCTTCGAATCACAAAATATTATATGAAAATTTGATATGCCGGTAATTGGAATGACATCTTGTCATGGTCTGAAAGTGTCAATCTGCGATTTAAAAAGTTACTAGTTGTGACGCTAATTCAGCAAAATCCTTAGCAGATTGAACTTCAACATCTGATTGAGATAGCATTTTTTGTTTTACAAGTCTTTTGGCATTTCCTCCCACACCGTCAACCACACTTTTCCCATGAGAAGTTGATGTTTATTTCCAAGTAAATTGCTGATTGTATGCTGTACTCAAATAACTAAGGAACTTAACCATGTATTTGTTTTTAAATTCTGATGAGGGATCGTCGCTCCAGATGAAATTTTGGACGTGTTCATCAGAATTTTGATCTTTAATTATAGAACATAAATGTTTGATAAATACAAATACTGTATCCTTGTCTTTATTGTGACTATTAGAGCAAATCAAATAGGTTTTGCAAATTCCTTTATAAAAAACCACCGCTGTAAATAAAAGAACGCTAGTTCTTGACCACAATGCAGATTGAATCTTATTCTGGAAATCTGTTAGCTGAACCTTTGTCCTTTTCAAATGCTGCGCTTTGGATTCTTTTTAGATTGACGTGATTCAAAAATCGCGGGTAGTCTACTTTGAGTCGATCAAAAAGTTCACCTGTACTCAACTCTCGTAAGATTAGCCGCAATCGACTTCCTTCATCTTTATCCCATTTTTTCCAAATCTTCGTGAGAGATAGCTGTTCAGGATCAGGACTATTGAATTTTAATAAACTCATACAAAAAAAGCATTCATTTTTCCAGCAAATTGAATTTATTGTTTGGTCGCATAAAACATTTTGCCGAAAAATTTTCATATTTAATTTGTAATGCTTTGAGTTTTAGGGTAAAACTTTCATGAATTTTTGCACTGATCTTTCGGTGTATATTTCAATGAAACCACGTTTTCCGGTCGCAGCTATGTGAATTTTGTAAAGCCAATTTTTAAATCTGGATTTTCTTCCTTAAACATAAAAAATGCTTCTCAAAGAAAAACAGTCAGATAAAACTGTCTCTTTTTTACCTGACTTCCACGAAACCATGGTATCTTTCATCCCAGGAGCAGTGTAAACTATATCTGGACGGAAATAGAAGCTTTTGACTTTTTCAATTAAGATATCATCTTGACCACATGTTGAATATCTGTGAGACAAATCACTGATCTTGACACTATACTTGTCCACTAAGCCGCTAATAATAGAATTCCGTTTGTTTGGTGATGTAGGTAAACTTTTAGTTGCTTTCAATAGTGCTTTTGCATAAGTCTGTGGGCATTTATATGGATAATAGAAATTTAATGGCGGAAATTTTGATGTACTTGGATCAGGTGTTTCATTTTCTAACCGTTTTCTTTCTCTCTGTTTTCTTTTTTGATCCCTTTCATATTCTCGTATTGTTTTTAGTTCAGTTTGACTCATAATTCGTCTCTTATTTTTCTTGATGGCATTTGTTCTAGTATTTTCTCTCTTCTGAAATTCTTCGCCTTCGCTTTCTTTTTCATGCGATATTTTTGCACTCTGGTAGCATTACCTTCTTTACTTGTACTCGACATTATTCTCTTTTGGAATTAAAAAATGTTTTAAAAATGTTCACTAATTAAAAATTATTTTAACACTTGGACACAGTATTACGTGAAGAACAAGATATAAAAATTAAAGTCAACAAGCAAATAGAATCACAACCTTCGAACTGATTGCAATATATAAACGAATTCGATGACCTTTCTTTGTTAACAAAGTATTAAAAGTGGAATGTCGGTAGTTTTTTTATTATTAAACTTTGTTTACTTTTTGCATGTCGTGAATGACAGCCAAATTTTTAACCAATGGGTATTTAACAAATTAAACTAATTTATCAAAGAAATAGTATAATAGCATTATTTACCATGAACTTTTTTAATAAAATAATTAACAAAATGACCTTGAATCATAGGCGTGGACTTTGATATTTAGAGAGAACAAACTTTTGCTATTAAATCTATTTGTCAAAATCAAAAAAATCAAAAATCTTTGAATTTTTTTGTGAACAATATCGTGCAATGTTCTGTAAATAATGTGAGGGCGAAAATATGTATTTTAAATTTTATGCTTAAGCCATTTTTTCCAAAATGCTCCTAATGTCTTGTCACAGAGAACCTTTTGGATTTGAAAACCTTTAATATTAAACATTTTAATTTTTTTTAATTGTGTGTTTATGGTGATTTAGGTACTTGTAGTAATCTAATAGTTGAGTTAAATTTTGATTTTATTTCTCTGAATATCCATGTCCATTTCATATGTCATATCTATGTCCATAGTGTTTTAGATAAATGATTTTTTCTTCTTTACTTTTTATTCGTTTATTTCGCATTACGGAATTTTCATTTTTTGGTCATAATACCATCGTTAATTTTAATTTTTTTATTGATAGCATACTTTTTTTTCTTGCATATACACACTTATGTATACAGTCGTTCTATTTTGTGGGTAAACATCTCAATATCAATAAATGTCTAAAGTTTTCTTTAAATCAAACCATAAGTAAAACAACGGCGAGGCAAACAGTCATTTCATTTATAAAACAAGTAATTCTTCAAAAAACAAACTTTTTTTTCGTTTCCTTTTGTTTATTAAAGATGACTGAATGGTGTTATCATTCAATAAAGAAGTTTTTTCTTTTTTTTGTTCACCTCGTTTATTATTATGGCTTTCGCTTTTTTGTTCACCTCGTTTATTATTATGGCAAGAATCAAACTTTTGATTTGAAGATTTTTTTTTTAAATCCTTTTTGAAATTTTAACTTTTTAAAGACAATTTCATTTTTATAAAATGTAATTTTTGTGTAAAACTTTTCACCATTTCACTGTAAGTAAATAAAATATAAAGAAATAAAAAATAATAAAGAAAAAAAAGAAAACTCTAATATGTTTAGTCTAGCATGTTTTTATTTAATTTTTGTAACTTTTTTTGAATTTTGTAACAGTCTTTGTAACTAACAGCCTTTGAATCTTATTTTAAAATTCCCAATACAGCTTAAAAACCATTTTTTAGTTTTAGTAAGAATTTCAAATTATACTTTTGTAAATTTTTTTAGTTTTATTAAGAATTTTCCAAAACTAATTTAATTATTAATAAATTAATAAGAGTTTTTAAAAAAATTTCTAGTTTTATTAAAAATATCATATTATGCTTTTCAGCGAGATTTTAAAACATGTTTGTTTCAGTGCGTAAAACCTGCTTGATTTTCGAAGTAAATGGTTATATTTGCTAAGGGTTTTATTTAAGTATATCTTCACGTTTCTAACAAACGGGGCATAAACGACGGAGTAGAAATAGAATTCAAAAAAGTTTGACAACGAGTCAACGAAAAACTATTCTAAAAAGTAAAACAACGTTTGAAAGAAACTATTTTTACATGAGAAAATAATAAAATTAATTTTACATGACAGGAAAATACTATAGAAAAATTACAAAAGCTATATAAATAAAAAAGATATATATAATTTATTTAAAAAAGTTGATTTAAATTGTTAAAAAAAAGTATTTAATAGAAACATTATATAAACTAAATAAATTCTAATATAATGAAATAACTTCTAATAAACCGAAAAGTCATCATTTTACAATCAACTACAATAAATACGTTGTCATTCGTCACCATGGTAAAACTTGTTAAAGCGTTTTCTTTCATAGTAAATAAGTTCGTGAAGCATTTTAATATACTTGATTAGTTAGTTGTCTTCGTCTTCTACTTTAACATCTATAAAATTATTTTTTCATATTAAACTGACATTTAAATTACACTATTGGCATAGTTTAAGCATATACAACACAATTGTAAGTTTAGAGTGAGTCAGTGGCGTATTAAGACTTCTTGGGGCCCGGGGCTATTTTTGTTTTTGGAGGCCTTTTTATGGGCAGAGCCTAAAAATGACTTGAAAAAAAAAAAAAAGGTCCTCTAAAATTTTTGGGGGCCTTAAATTTGCGGGGCCCGGGGCTATAGCCCCCCTAGCCCTCCTTGATAAGGCACTGGAGTGAGTGTATAATGCAGTATGAGCGTACTTAACACGATGCAGTATGAGCGTATAACTTAACACTAGCTTATAACATAGTATTAACGTATGACATAGTAGGACAGTGAAATGCATTATATAAAATAAAATTAATATAAAATCCTTTCAAAATTATGTTCAAAACTTTACAAAAATAGATAATAAACAGAATGTTTACTAAATAAATCTATGAACAAATGTAAAACAGGTAAGTATCTAACAAGGTAAATATCTAAAATATAATAAAATAGATGACAAATAACTTCCAAAATTTCAGTTTTTTGAACAACAAATAACAAAATATTGTCCCAAATTTAAAGCAAGATTTGGACACCATTAGTGCAGTAGTTGGCAACCCTAGAAAACAAGTTGTAAATAAAAATGAAGCGTTACACGATACAACGTGTTATTATCAAACACTGCACCTTTGTTGACACATTCAGCCATATTTAAGTAGAACATTCATCAAAAATTTCAACACAATAGTACGCACGTGTCAACAAAGGTCTTTGTGTAATTGTTGATGTGTTATTTCATAAATAACTCTATCCTATGTACTTTACAATTCCATAAAAAGTTTTAAAAACTTTGTTTTCTATTTAATTCAAATCTTACTTAAAATTTTTTGATATCCTGTATATAAAATGTTTTTTTGTTGTTGGAAGAATAACATATATCAATATAATGTTTGAATGATCTGAATGTTGCAGTATAGTTTGATGATTTTTAAATGATAAATATAATAACTAAAAACTTTTTTTAGACGAAACAAACCATTAGAGATTATCCTGAACAAACCAGCCTTAAAAAAACCTTTTATAAATCTGTCTCATATTTTACAATAGCATTGCCCAGCTGTTTAAAAGTTTGCTTTTCTTTTACCTTAATGCAACAAATTTAACAAACAAAATCATGGAGTAAGATTCCTGAATGCTAAAACGTTTAATTTATTCTTTTAGACTAAAAATTTAAAGTCTATTTTGCTCTCTTTCGCAATTGCTTTTCAAATTTCTTTTTTTTTAATTTTCTTTTTACTGCTTTCTTAGTAGAAACATTTTACCTTCTATTTTTATTCAAATATTGCACATATAGAGATTAAGCTAATTTGCAGCTTTTCTATAATTTCTAAAATTGTTAACCAAATATTTTATTTCATAAACAGTTGCATGTTCTCAACAAAAAACTCTTTGGCAATCCTTCATTCAAAAGCATGCTAAAAAAAAGAAATGGAAACTAAAAATGAAACCTAGAATATAAATGATGCAAAATGTATGTTTCTATATAAATGAAACATTAAAAACTTGTTAAGGCACATTGTAAGGCATTCGAAATGGCTTCATCTTATTATTATATCATCATCTTATTGGCTGTTAAGACAGACATCTTATTGGCTGTTAAGACACTCTTTAAGCTAATATTTGGCAGAATCTTTAAGCTAATATTTGGCAAAAAAATATAGCAATACTCTAAAAATACTCTAATAGTCAAAACAATAACTACAAGTTAACTTCTGGCAACCGAGAAATTGCTGACATGTTTAAATTAGACTTTGAAATGCTTTTATAGGAATCATAGTAATCATCCTCTTATTAATAGACATGCAGGAGATTCAATAAGTGATAAAAAAGGTAAATTTTCTATCAAAAGTTTTTTTTTAATCTTTAAATACAAATTAAACCAAGCATATTGTATGATCCTGTTTATATATTTTATATACTCTTAAAATTATTTGTTTTGTATTCCACATTTCTATTTGATGCCAGTTTTGAGTTAAGTTCTTTACTAATAGCACCAAGCTTTTATCTCTCCAATTTTTAAAAATAGAGCTACTGCTGATTCAAATAATTAAAGACCATCTTCCTGACATGCACTTGTTGTCACACTATGGAAAGAATGTTCAATTTACAAGCTATGGAGAATCTAACTAATCAAGCTATGGAGCATCTAACTAATCAAAGCTTAATAACTCCTGATCAAAGACAAGTTTCCTTTTTCAACAAATTTTCAATAAATTTTCTTAAAAAGTTTCCTTAACAAAAGATTTTAAGAATTTTTTTAGATTTAAAAACGATTGTAACACACTTGATAGTGATTTGATAACGAAAATATTTTTGGACCTCCAAAAAGCATTTCAAATCTCTAACTATTATTGGTTGAACTTGTATTATTAATAGTTGTATAATGTTAAAGATCGCATGGTAAGCGGGGTTGTGCAGTGTGATAGGACCGACATCATTTTTACTATATGTTTATGATTTAACAGTTATAAATAGTCTTAATTGTTTTTCAAAACATTATGCAAATGATATTATGTTTGGTATACAAGAAATAGTTTTATCATAAAATGGTTGCTTCAAAGAGTCTTAACTAAAAAAATAGTCTGGTACTCTAGTTGTTGCTCTAAAGAGTCTGGGTTGAAACATGACAACTAACACTTTTTTAACATTTTTACTTTCAACAAGTTTGCAACATTTGAGTTGGAATTTACTGGAAGAGAAAAGATGAAGTTTAAAAGGAAAATAACAATTAACAGACGACTTGAAAGATAGCAAATTATATGAATCAGGAAAACAAAATAGAGGGAGTGAATTCCAAAGAAATGATGTTTAAGTCCAGGTCCAACTATGTTTACAATGCTAATTTTTGTAAATTAATGTTTACAATTGCTAGCAGTAAATATTTATCACATAAAATGCACTTTTTTCATTATGCAAAAGCGTGATGAATTTATTAAAACAGTTGAAAAAGTTCAAAAACATTATGCAAAAGATATTATGTTTAGTATATAAGAAATAGTTCTATCAAGAGAAAATTAAGAACCGAAAAAATTGGACTCATTATGGTCAATTACAGGTGCTTGATTTGGATTTACTTGAAGTTAGGCATCTAAACTATGATTTAGTAACATGTTTTAAAATTTCTCATGACCTAGTTTATACTAAAAGTTCTATGTTCTTTGTCCAACATTCAAACAACATTGGTTAGATTTTCGAAAATATAGCTTTGCTTAATGAGTCAATGCCATCTAAAACCAAAATAAAAAAATAAAAAAATAACTCTTCCAATTTCAAAAATATTGTTTACTCTATTAATTTTTGTAGCGGTACATTTTTAATTTATTTAAGGCCATACTGTTATTGTTTATCTTTTGTATAAAACTGTGTTCTTTAGAGTTGTGTCTTTTAGAATACGAATTTGTTATTCTAATAACAGATGGTTACTAAAAATCTGGACTATAGACTCATAGTAAAAGTTACAAATTAGAAGTAGCACTATCTATGATATAATCAAACATGCTGAGAATGATTTTGGACACAAAAGAGTGCAAGGAATCAGTCATCCTTGACAACAAGTCTTACTTCACACTGTTGCACTTAACAATTAACAGAAACAGCACCTCCTACTCTAGCGACAGAAACAAGACTCCACTGAACATTAAATATCGCAAAAAGCACAAGTTTGAACCAAAGCTGCTCGTCAGGCTGGCCGCTTCTGACAAAGATATTTCCAAGCAATTTTTTGTCCCCTGCGCAATGCAGTCAATATAGCCATCTACAAAATGGATTGTATAAACGGATTGTATAAGGGAAGATTAGTGTCGTTCATCAAGCTCATTATGGCGATGGTAATTTGGCTGAACATTGGCGATGTAATTTGGCTGAACATGGCTTAATGGCACAATGTCAAAACCATAACCAACAGCTATGAGACTCATAACACCAATTTTGTAAAAAAAGTTGACAATCTGCCAGCTGTACCATAGTGTCGCCCAATCAAAGACTTTAAGCTATTTTGAAAGGTAAAAAGTATGAGGGTAACTGGCAAGCAAAAGATATAAAGCAACTACAAAACTGATAAGTGTTTTATAACTCATTTATGTGCAAAAATTAGTTAAAAATTATACATACATACATACATGCATGCATACACACACACACACACACACACACACACACACACACACACACACACACACATATATATATATATATATATATATATATATATATATATATCAACCCTCGGAATTAGGAAAAATGAAGCAATAATTTGCTGACCTAAATCATTTAGAGGTCAGCATCAGGTCGGCAAAAAAAAAAAAAATTGATACAAAGGTCTTACCATAAAACATAGAAACGATGTCGGCAATTTTTTGCTGACCTTTAACACTTTAAGGTCAGGATTGCTGACCCTAATTCTGAGAGTTGATATTTTTATATATATATGTTAATATGTTAAGTTAAATATATGTTATATGTTAAGTTAAAAATATTTGGGTTGAAAAATACCTGAAAAACTTCCATTAGAGTATGAAGACTTTTCTTCCAAATTCTTTGAATTGGAAAAACTTCTCTCAAATAATTTTTGATTAACTGATTTAGATTCTAAACCTTTGTATATATGTAAAGTTTCACTTGTTTTACCTATCTCACTTTCGTCAATAACTACAGATTTTTTAATAACACCATCTTGAGGGATTTCATCTTGACCTCCATATGTTATTTTTTTGCGCTGCTCCATTAAGGTTGC